ATAGTTATTGATTAATTTTCAAATAATTATTATAATACACTGGATCACAGTGTACCTATGCTAGTAAAAAATGTGACCTATATATGACATATGACCCCTCACCTTTCTCATTCACTTATATTGTGACATCAAGCATCCCCTATCTAACGACACGGTCTCTTCACTCACAACTCTTAAAGAACCAAGTTTTAATGAGACAACGATAAGAACTGGTAACATAAGCAAGCATTAGAAACAAAAACCTCTGGGCAAAAAATAGTTTTTGTAAAACATTTTTCCTTTAAATGTTTAAATAAATATAATTCACATTCAAAAATTCAAATTTCATGTAAATTTTATGTTTAAAATGTTAATTTATCTTTCACACTAAACGTTACATAGAGATAGCATCAGATGCTCTACGTTACACTTTTTGGAAGTTAAAAACATCAAATTACACTAAACCTGAGAATTTGTATCTACACACAATTTGAAAAAAATATGCATTTTAGCTCGTGTTGTTTGTGTTTTTTTCCCTATTATTTCGATAAAGCACATATTTGTATTGATATAAAATATTATAGACACTGAAGCTGTAACTTTTGTCTGTATTTATACATTTATAGCTCTTGCTTAGCTTTGAACCTCCCCTCCTCTCCGATGGCTTAGCGGTAAGCTTGAGGACTTATAACGCTATCCACAGATAGCACATTGTGTAGATTTGTGCTTAACGACAAATACAGGGTGTAAAACAAACAAGCATGAAGCTACTATACATTTAAAAACCAAGGAATGTGACGACCTCCCCCCCCCCATATTTTGTGTGTGTTTTTTTACAATAAGTTTCTTCCTCCCTCATTTGTTACGGTTTAATATTGTTTGTTTGTTTGTTGAAGTTTGTGCAAAGCTACACGAGAGGTATATGTGAAACCATCTCTAATTTTAAAAGTGATAGACTAGAGGGAAATTAATTAGTCAACATCACCCACCGTCAACTATTAACTCTTGGATTACTCGTGGAATTGTTCGTCACATTATAACGCCATAAAATCTTAAAGGACGACCATTTTCGGTAAAGGGGTTCGAATGCTAGTCGAGTGCTATAATCACCACATTCAAAATCCTACTAAGTTTGGCCATCTTAGATGTAACAGTTAACTTATAACAAAATTGTCATCGCTCTCAAAAATTGTAGGTTACAAATGCTTATTAATTTACTTTACAAAGCTCTTCCATGGGCTATCTGTGCTGTGCCTACTAAGGGATCAAATCCTTGATTTTAACTTTATAAGCGTCAAGCCAACGAGAGACACAAACTTTTGTTCGAAGCATAGTTTTACGTCTATCTCTCTCCATTCAATCTGCATTTATAATAATATGATTCTTTTCACTCAGCATTCAAACTATTGGTTGTTGGTTGAGAAAATAGTGTCACTTAACGCGACAGACGTACTTACATCTTATGAGGATAAAACTCCACGTAGTAGATTTGTTCGTTAATACAGTAAACATTTGGTATGCCAAATCATTTGATTTTTCAGTTCATATAAATTCTATTTAAAGACGCCTAAAGTATGATATACATATAAAAAACATATAAACATATATCAATTATACTTGTCATATCATAAGACATTAGTATTAAGCCTATTACATTTTTAAGCACTACTTTCTTAATCTAATCCCTTAGAGATTTTCTAGAATTAAAAGAGTGTATTCCAACCATACTACATATTCGCCATATCTACTGCCGATGAGGCGTTTCGCTCAATCCAGAACTCATCAAGCCGCCTGGGATACAACAAACACAGTAGTGGTCGGAACACTATTTATATAAGCCATTGATACAACAACAATTATTATTATGGTAAATACAAATTATCAAGATAATATATCTACCCTTTTGATTACTTATAGGTTCTGTTAATGTATATTGTACAATATTGTCGTCGATGATGCACTTATTAACCTAGTTTTTCCATTTTAGAACCGACCCTGTCATTAATAAAGTGGACGCTGCAATGAATAATTCCCTAGTCGTTTTATCACAAACTCCCAACAGCATATACCCAAACGATCGATAAAATCTGTATAACATCTGCGCTGTGCACGAATGCCTACTATACATGATTACGTAGTTTGTGAAAGGGTTATTTTTCTTCTTGTGTGTTGTTAAGCACAAAGCTGGTTCCTGTACAGTTAGTAATTACTTCCGTACAGTGTGACTAGTTCCTGTACAGTTAGTAATTACTTCCGTACACTGTGACTAGTTCCTCTATAGTTAGTAATTACCCCTGTACACAGTGACTAGTTCCTCTATAGTTAGTAATAACCCCCGTACACTGTGACTAGTTCCTGTACAGTTAGTAATTACCACCGTACACTGTGACTAGTTCATGTACAGTTAGTAATTACCTCCGTACACTCTTACTAGTTCCTGTACAGTTAGTAATTACCACCGTACACTGTGACTAGTTCATGTACAGTTAGTAATTACTTCCGTACACTGTGACTAGTTCCTCTATAGTTAGTAATTACCTCCGTACACTCTTACTAGTTCCTGTACAGTTAGTAATTACCACCGCACAGTGTGACTAGTTCCTCTATAGTTAGTAATTACCTCCGTACACTCTTACTAGTTCCTGTACAGTTAGTAATTACTTCCGTACACTGTGACTAGTTCCTGTACAGTTAGTAATTACTTCCATACACTGTGACTAGTTCCTGTACAGTTAGTAATTACCTCCGTACACTGTGACTTGTTCCTTTATAGTTAGTAATTACCTCCGTACACTGTGACTAGTTCATGTACAGTTAGTAATTACCACCGTATACAGTGACTAGTTCCTCTACAGTTAGTAATTACCACCGTACACTGTGACTAGTTCCTCTACAGTTAGTAATTACCTCCGAACACTGTGACTAGTTCCTTTATAGCTAGTAATTACCTCCGTACACTGTGACTAGTTCCTGTACAGTTAGTAATTACCACCGTACACTGTGACTAGTTCCTTTATAGTTAGTAATTACCTCCGTACACTGTGACTAGTTCATGTACAGTTAGTAATTACCACCGTACACTGTGACTAGTTCCTCTATAATTAGTAATTACCACCGTACAATGTGACTAGTTCCTCTATAGTTAGTAATTACCACCGTACACAGTGACTAGTTCCTCTATAATTAGTAATTACCTCCGTACACTGTTACTAGTTCCTCTACAGTTAGTAATTACCACCGTACACTGTGACTAGTTCCTTTATAGTTAGTAATTACCTCCGTACACTGTTACTAGTTCCTCTACAGTTA